TTAGTTATGCATTAACTTAATTTATCATATAATTTTCAGTAAGTGCAGAACAATTCTGTTCCAAGCACATTACTAGCTCCCCCTAGGATACTGACTTTTATAGATTATCTAGACCCTCTTAAGTTAACTAGATTGACTTTAGTGGCTGCCTTTGAAATGCATCTCATTTTTCTGCAGTTCAGTGTAACAAAAACCCACAGACCTCTAAGCATTAAGTACCTTGCAAAGATTAGAGAGCTCTGTGCACTGACAAAACTATCACCTGTAATTTACTTCAGGACTGACAAGCAGTGACTCACTGATAGGTATAAAATTGCAGAGTCCAGATACCACTTTTGAAAACATCCGTAAGAGAGTAGCAGAAGTCCTTCACCATAAAGCATCTTGAGACAATTTAGCAAAACACTATCTGGACTCTTATTCCACAATAATTAGAGACACCATATTGCATTGAGTGCCACACTGCCAGCCACCAAACATCATGTACTTTCATTATTCCCATAAAAGCTGATTGGGGGAAAAAAAAAAAAAAAAAAAGCTTTAGTTATTATAGTTGGAAAAGGTTTAGAAAGCAGGAAAGAGATATGAACCCACGCTATAGAAAGGATGTTGAAATCTAGTGATGTTTTTACCTGCTGTTTGACAGCCTACTTTTCTCATGTTAGGAGAAGGCAGTGGGTAGTCCAGTTCACTAATTGTTTCAGGATGTTGAACCTGTAACATGGAAACTTCAACCAGAGCAGCAATTCCTAGAGCTGCAGGAAGTCAGCTCTCTGATTCTGGTTTTGGAATACACGATCTAATAGATGGTTTGAGTTCCTACCCATCTTTTATTAACAAGGGTATTCTCTATCAAATACTTAGAGCTTTATATAGAGTCTACTCCTCCCTTGACTGCCATGTTGCCCTTTATTTTAAAGGAAAGCATGAGGAGATTCGCCAGGTAGTTAGTGAAACATCATTGCTTGCATGAATTACTTCAGGAGCCTGTTTCTCAAGAACGCACATTCCCAAACAAGGCAAGGATGATGTCAAGCTTAATCACTAATGGACTTATGTCACTGAAAAAGACCATTTCTTTGTAGCAAGTAGACTTTTATTTTTACTCTTCCTGAAAAAAAATATGTTAAGACTTTGAGCACAGGTGGAGCAAACTTGAATACATGATCACCGATATAGGCAGGAGGACGGACAAACTCTTACATACTGCCATGGCATACAGGAGAACCAACAAATATTTTGGTGAATTATTTAAAAAAAAATAGTGAATTGTCTCATCATTAATCCTTTTATAATTCTGAGAAAAAAACATAATATGGGATTCTGCCCTAGATACTTTTGAGTAAGAGTATAATAGAATGCAGTTTTCATTTTGCAGAATTGCAATAGATTTGTGGTTTTAAAGAAATTATAACATGTAATTGCAAAAGATATTTTTTTTACTAGTAGTTCCTTCTGAAATATATGTAATGCACAGATGACACAGAATTTCCTTCTCTTTCTGATCCTGAGGGAACTAATATGCAATGGTTGCCATGATTTAAGAGCAAACGTGTCTTTATAGAAAATGTGTCTTTTCTTTAAAGAAATCACTGTTGAGTATGTCCAAAAATATAGTATTAATTCCCAGTGCAAAGAAACACAACCCTTTTAACCTGTGACCAGTTTTTAAGTGTTGTCTTAAATTAAAAGGTTGTGGGAAGTGTCTAAAAACTTAATATTTCTACAAGGGAAAAATGATACTTTAGAATACTTTGCCATGCAGTGTGTGATACATAGCAATGAACATGTAAATGCAAAATGCACTGTAACCAATAGGAAAATAGTTAAATTTTCCATCCTAATGGGGACAAAATGCTACCAAACACATGATGTAAACAGCAACACAACAACTGAATTTTTCACTACCATAGTTTAAAACACTATTTTAAGGTGGTGTTATTGTTAATCCACGAGATAATACAGACATTATAAGTATTTAATACCACCAAAATGCCAAACCATTGTTTACATTCCTGTTTTTAACACTGTGAAGACATTTCTGCCTTAAAATTCTATTTGTATTCCAGTCTTGAACATTTATTCTAGGCTGTAACTTGACTGGCAAGTTAAACTCAGAAACAATTCCGTCACTAATTGTGTGTGGAAAAAACAATTTAAGAAGAAATTTGTTTCACAGTATTACCCATTCTGTACTGACGAAGAATTAAATTATTTCAGATGTGGTTTTCATTTTTTTTTTATTTCTGTAACGCATATGCAAAATATATTTCATGATTCTCTCTCTTTATAAAATAATTTTCTTCTACAAATTAAATTATATGGTACAAATTACCATCTAGTTGTTTTTATACATTCATGAAGCTTCTTCCCATACCTCTTCAAGTAAATGACAGTGTTTCCTTCAATATGATTTCTTTTTTTAGGAATGCCATCATATTAAGCCTAGGGCATACTCAGGATTTTTGAGGCATGCTGAATGCTCTTAACTCCTCTTGACCATTAGAAAAGTGGTATTTTTTAGCCCGTTGGCCAGTAGAACATGAAAAATTACACAGATCTATCAATTATATATTTTCATATCTTTCAATATTAAAATTAGGAATCACAGAATGGTTTCGATTGGGAGGGAGCTTTAATGCTCACCTAGTCCATGTCCTGAACTAGATCAGGTTCCCCAGAGCCCCATCCAACCTGACCTTGAATGTTTCCAAGGAAGAGGCTTCCACCATCCCTCTGGGAAACCTGTTCCAGTGTTTCACCACCCTCACTGTAAAAAATTTCTTCTTTATATATATTCTGAATCTACCCTGTTTTAGTTGAAAACCTTTACCCCTTGTCCTATTGCTACAGGCTCTGCTAAAAACTTTATCCCCATCTTTTGTATAGACCCCCTTTAAGTATTGAAATGGTGCAGTAAGGTCTCCCCGGAGCCTTCTCTTCTCTAGGCCGAACAACCCCAACTCTCTCAGCCATTCTTCACAGGAGAGGTGTTCCATCCCTCTGATCATTTTTGTGGCCCTCCTCTGGACCCACTCCGACAGATCCATGTGTTTCCTGTGCTGACAAATTTCCTATCTTCAAAAATTCAAAGTCCCAAATAATAATTTCTTTAACTTTTATTAAAGTCCCAGTTCTGAACACTCATCCACATCTCACAAACTTTACTTTTGTAACTATACCCAGTGATCTTCAGGACTCGACTGTCCTAAATCACTTCTTTGGAGACAAGAAGAACTTCTTCTGGCTTGTCCTTTTTGCTTTCTTGCAAATTTTGCTGCAAGATAAATTTTCTCTCCCATGAATGTCCCACAAATAAACCATGGATTTGCAAGTGTGTATGTGGATATGTAGCTGAAAGAGCATGTCTATGCATACTATATATATACATATATATACACACATTATACAAAGATTTTCTAAGGTGCATCCACTCTTTTAATGACATTTTAGAACACAAGTTTTGTATTTTATTTTTCTACCATTTTCTTTCCACTCTGTTAAAAGTTATTTCCATGATGGTTGTCTTCAATAGAGCCATAAAACTTTTTTTTTTTTTTCTAAACATTTCTCACACCAGGGCAGTCTAATTTCAGAGGTAATAGGTAGTTCCTGTATCAGAACAAAGATCTTTTCTTTACCTCATTATCTCTTCTTCAACTTAATATTCACAGCTGTGGGGGGAACACTTTTAACAAAGAGTTTGGTTCTAGTTATTCTTTTGCTTATTATGGGACAAAAAAGATCTGCTCTGTTACCAGTGTTTGCTCATAATGGCTTGCCTTCCACTTAACCTTCAGGGTAAATTCACTAACTGAAAAGGCATATCGTAAAAGTTAGTGTTGATGTGTGTCCAAAAACTGGGTTTCACTGTGCTAGAGAGATTGTTCCCTAGAACAGCTGTGTTGTAATTTGTTTTCTGTGTAATGCGCAAAACAAGAGCCTTGAGGTGGAGGAAATTATTTATTTGACAGCTTGTGGGGAAGAGGTTATGATGAAATAAGAATGAATATGAGACAGCTGAAATTTGCACTGTGTCCTATTTTCATTAGTACTTGATGACTGGAGTTTCATATTTTGTGTGTTCTGGTGTTCCTTTTTCTTCCTCACATAAGTAGAATGACTAGAAAAATAACACTACTTTATCACACAACTTTCAAAGTGTTATGGAAACATATTCCATGACAAAAGTTCTGGGTTCCCTTTTAACACAGGGGTTAACACTATTAAAGAAACAAGCAAAACTTGGGACTATGAATCGGAGACAAATTTTTTCATTTGCTTGTTTCCAGTGCAAATTTTGTTCTACCTGAGAAGTGTTTCCTGGTGATCTACTCTGCTGCTGTTGTCCTAGTGATAGGACAAGGGAATCACAAATCATCTCCAGTATACATCACTTACTTGAAAGCATTAATTGCCTTTAAAATCCATCCAGAGTCTCATTTTCCTTCATGGCAGAACAGTATGTGTCATGTTGCCTGCCCTTACTTAACCAGAGCTGCCAGTTTGGGCTAAGTGGCCGTTTGCTGGGAGTGAAACATCTTTTTTTTTCCATTTGCTTGCTTAGCCCCTTCCTGCAAAATACAAAGGTAATATTACTCCTTTTTAGGCTTTTCATTGAATAGTTGGGCAGTCCTGAGTTTCTTACTGCATTTAGTTTTTTTCAGTCCTCATGCTCTCAAACTGTTTGATGTACAGGAGTTTGCCTCCCAGCGTAGTTTGTATGAAGTGAACATTGTGATCTGCAGCTCAGCTGCTGTGTGCCAGGCCCTCAAGTGAGAACAGTTCCTGTCCAAGGAGCTGAGAAGAATAAAAGACTCCTGCAACATTGCAGTGTGAATTTACTCTGCTTTACTTGATCACTAGGATGCTTTAATAGGAGTGGTTCAAAAACCTATCACAGCAGCATTTGCTGTGATATCAGATGTCTGTGGTGTTTTACTGCCTTTGCATTCTATGCATGCTCCATCTGACGCTTCTTTTTGTTCTTATTCCCATTCATGCAGTCACATAATGCTGGCGACAAGGATGACCAAACACTGACGGTAGGCAGCAATTAGTATGTGTCTGAGTGTTTATTTCTCAGGAGGGTGGTGAGACAAGCCTTACTTTGGTTTGGCGCACATCAGCATTTTTCTGAATTACTGGGTTTTTCCCCCCCTGTTATGCTGCTAGAGAATTTAAATAATTATTCCACTAATAAAGCAGTGAATTAATTTCTTATTCAATTTCTATCATTTTTCATTTAGTATTTCTATGCCACCAAAGGATAATCCATGAACCATGTATTATTGCAAAATACTATTTGCTTCAGGGTTGTTTTTTCCCTGTAATTGGATTTCAGAGTCTTAGTCAGCAGTTTTTTGGCTCTGATTATCCTTTTTATGGAATAGTCAGCCAGCCATCCCCAAAGCAGTCTTAACTGTATGGGACATATTTAAAGCATGGGAAAAAGAACCTCGGAATATGTTTTTAATTTCTTTAAAAGTACATAAAAGATGCTTGTATGTTAGCTCCATTGCTGTAGGTGTTTGCACTGCCTTGCCACACTTGCAATCTTGTTTTTACCATTAGTACTTAATGGATTGAACCAAAGCGAGGCATCTGTTTCACTCTCAATTGAGCTTCAGGATTTTGCCATTAAAAAGGGTACTCTCTGCCCTTTTTCTCCATAATTTTTGTAAGATGAATATTTGCAGTGTACTGAAGCAATAAAAATTAAAACTTACTTCAGAGATTGAACCACAAGGTTCTACAAAGAAACAAATTATGAATTCTTCTTGATGCAAGTATGAGGTTTTTATTTTCTTAACATTTTAAGAGTTTTCACAGAGAATGATTCTTTATTACTGCTCTGTTCCTGAGCCCTGGGTGACTAATGAATAATCTGATGATCCGTCCCCTCCAGAGAAATTGTCTATACACATTGCAATGTTTAATACAGTGTGTAATTTAATATAATCTTCTATAAGTGATGGTTGAAAATGTTTTACTGTGTGGTGAGATGTGAGATTAATTCATAGTGTTGCAGACCTGTTTCCACAAAAAACAAAAATCCCCTGAAATCTTTCTGTTATTTTTTCCACCTAGACCAAGCCACGGCTCCAGAGGGGAGGAAGCTCTGCATCTCTCCATAACAGTCTAATGAGGAACAGCATCTTCCAACTCATGATTCACACACTTGACCCACTTGCTGAAGGTATTCCTATTAATTTTTTGTTTTTCTTTTGCAAAAGCAAACACTTTCCTTTTCCCTTCTCCCCATGAAACTGTTTTTTAAATTGATTTTGCTTTAATCAGTCTTTTCTGAATGTACCTGAATTTTCTGAGAGTTTTGCACTTTTATGGCATGGTATACATTCTCCCATCAAGACTTGCAACTTACAAAATGTGTTCGTTGCAATACTGACTAAAACTGGTCACTTGGTTGATTTGTATGGTAACTACTGTTTTGCTTTACCTCTGGCTTCAGCAGCAATTTAAAAGTTACAAAAATCCCATCCCCTTGTTCTTTTGCAGAGGTTTTTTTTTATTTTCTTTTCTGGTTCTGATTTTAGTACATCGGAGAAAAAAAATCAAAATGGTGAGTAATTTGTCAATGGATGAGACTCTGTTGATTAGATGTTGAGTGGATTAACAGTGACATTAGAAAAAATGAAACAAACATCTCTCTCTGTTACATGCATGTTAACAGTTTGCTTGCTTTATCCCAGTGTGTAATTTTTTTTTTTCTTTGAGAAGTTAGCAGGAAGATCGTGAGTTTATGATTGCTTTGGTCTGAGAAGTTGGCAGGAAAGCCATAATTGCTTTGCAATTGTGGAGTGATTTGAATCTCAGCTTCTGGTAGACTTCAAAAAAAATTAAAGGCCAAGTGTTTATTTGGTGAATGTGTGTCTGTAGGACTTTCCTTGCTGTAGTAATAATGTCTTGAGAAATATCATTTGTGAAGGAAGTGTGAGGGACTAGAGAGACCTAGAATATTACTGACAGTGAGAACTTCCAAACTCCAGTGATCATAAAGTATATGTAGCACATACTTGCATTTAAGTTTCTTCATGTTTTTCTCATTGCAACATTGTGTACAGCTTTATATATTGCTCTGTATCTCTTGGACAAGGCAAATCTGCTTTTCCATTTCCCTCTTCAAAAGCTGAAGCTGACACTCATTTTGTCAACACAAGAGCAATTCTTAGCCCTTGCAATCTCCACACCATTATTTCTACCCTGATCATGATTCACATTGCTTCTCTCTTTGGTTAATGCTACACTATACACTGACAAAGTCTGTATCCTGTTAGAGTGGAGTCATCAACAGACTGTACCCAGTCTGTTCCCATTCAATGCCGAAAAAGGACGTAAGAAATTTATTGCAGTTATATGTTTGGCTTCCTTTATTTGCATCACTACAGCAGGTGAGCAGGCTTTCTAACTGCTGCACCCAGTAAGTCTCATCTGTACCCACCTGGTAGCCAAGCTTTTCACTCTGTTAGAAGAAGAAAAGACTTCCAATCTCAATTTTTAATTTATTAATGAAAAATTACCAAGTTTTACAATCCTTTGCACTCCTCTTTTCCCTTAAAGCAAATCTCCTGGGCTGCAGATGCATCTGTGTTGTCTCATATAGTGCTAGCACAAACAAAAATAACAATCATGTGGAGTACTAAACAGAATTAATCAAATGATTTTTAAAAATAAAACAGAACAGAAGCAGAAGAGCCTATTAGCAGGGACAGAACTTTCATGACAAATTGAAGACCTTGGGAAAGCTAGAAATGTTGATTGGAGTTCAACTGGGACTTAATGAAGATTCAGAAAGAAGATCAGCTCTCAGGCATTTTTTCATTACTCAGACTTATTTTACTTGTTTCCCAGACATAGCTTGTTCAGCATTCAGACCTTTTCTCACTACTTTTCCCCTGTAGCAAGCTTCCACCAGGTTGTGTGATCCAAAGGCTTCCTCCTTTACAACAGTGCAGGAAAAAAGGGTTTTGAAATCTGAAATCCATCTTGGGAGATGCAGAAGACCAGCATGTGACTCAATGCTGTTCTTTATTATGTTGAACACTTGAGATCAATGTGTCTTGACAGAGATGGTTTCAATGGATAAATCTTATTTAAGTCATTCCAGTAAAATTTTCTTCAGGGTTTCTTTGCTTGTAATAATTTACTGTTCAGTTGTGGGGTTTTTTTTTCTCTCCAAAATCATATTTTGTCCTGGAATTAATTTTTTTCAAAAAATGGAATATAAAGGTCTTACAGCCTTTAAGTAACTGCAAGGCAGTAGCTACCTGTCCAATTTATTAAAACTGACACACTGAGTTATCATTTACAAAGGGAAAAAAAATACCCAAACCCTTACATTTACAGTAAATATTTTATTTTAGTGCACAGCTTTCATGAAGAAATTGCCATGAAGACACTGGAAAATAGCTTATATATGTGCAGACATCTAAGTTGGTGTTGATATCAAAGGAGCTAATTAAAATTTCCACTGACTTCACAAAATTCAAATTTTGATTAATGAGAGCACAAAAGTGCTGATATAGGAGTGCAATTCAATAAAAAATTTACATGTGGAACTCTGTTTTTACTTTTTTACAAATATGTCCAGATGTATTTGAGAGAAATGTGAAAAAAATCCGCCCACTTTTCTGTCACACATTATAGTCATTAACCTTTTTTGAGGCACTACCTCATTCATAGGCAGGCTTGGCTTTCAAGATCTTTTGCACGGCAGGCAGTTTGGAAGGCAGACACAGGGAGTATTGGATAGCTGCCATTAACATTCATATTGTTTCCTTAGATTTTGAGCTTTTAATTGTCCATATTCATTATTCTGTGTTCAGATAATTTTGCAAACCTCCATAAAAGAAAAGGGATTTTAGTTTGCTGTAAATACTGTGGCTAGCCAAGGTAGGTGATGCGAGTTAGCAATTTTGGATGGCATTGTGCTTGAATCTTATATTCAATTCAAAATTTGTGTGCTAATGCATATGGATACCTGCTGTATATGATATTGATTATTTATTTTGCTCTGTGTGAATTTTACCTACTGAACTCTCACCATGTTCTTGTGTTTTAATCTTCCTGTGTATAATGAACATCAATCAATCAACTGGTGCATCATGCTTACTTTAGTAGACCTTTACCGTGCTAGCTAAGTAACTTTTTAAGCTGAGAGCATTTCATTGTTAAGAATTAAAATAAGAGGTAGTATTTATGAGAAGTGTCTGAGAAGTGCAGTCCATTGCTCTATAAACCCTTCATTTGAGGAGATGTGGAAATGTAAAGGATTACTTGATGCCTTCTCTCGCCCACATGACCTTCTCCACTTCATGTGCCCTTTCCTACTACAAAAAAAAAAAAACAACCAAACAAACAAACAAACAAAAAAACACCAAAAACCCCCAGACATAATGAAGAAATAAATGAGTGGTTTGTGTTAGTTTTGAGTTTTGTGTAAGCAAAGAAAAGTAGCTCTGTTGCACTCAAATAATGAAAGAAGATGGACCTGCTGCACGATCTGTGAGGTCAAAGGATTTCTTCCAAATTGTTTACTGCAAGTATGGATCAGACTCAAAAGAATAGCAGAAAGAGGTTCTGAGCATTTTTGAGTCCCATTTTAGCCAGCTTAGATACCCTCAGTATTTCTGCCAGATCAATAGTTCAAAAACATTGCATCGTTAGCCATATTTGTTGGTTTTGCAGCAAAAGAAGAATATATGAGAACATTACAAAGTACCACTCTCAAAGGAAAAAAGCATGAAAAGTATAAATCAAAGCTGATACATACACAGATACTCTGGCACCCCTTGCACTTGTGCATACTTCTTCTGCCCTCCTGCCTCTCTCATATCCTCTTTCTCCATTTGCTACCATTTACTTCCTTTGCCTTTCCTCATACTGCATCTCACCCATCTGCACCCACTATCCTTTACCCTTTTCCCATAGGATGGCTTCCTCAGCACTTGCTTTCCTTCTGGACTGCTAGGTCCATCCATCAAAGCACTTCCCAAGCAGATGCCATCAGCCCTGCAGCTGGCACAGCCAAGTGAACTGAGTTTTTGGTTTCTGGAAAAGCACTTGTCAGGTCTGGGAACTCTGTGCTTGACTCATCACAGCTTCCAGATCAGATGTTGCCATTGGAAGTAAAACTTCTAGTTGCTGTACTGCTGCTGGAACATCCAGCTTTTCTCTATCGTTACATCAATGATAAAGCTCACTGTTATATTCTCTTGAATAACTGCAAGAAAAATGGAGGAATGAAAAGGCACAGTACCCTGTCATTTGGACTTGTGTGAGCTTTGCAAGGCTGACAGAAAGGAAGTCCTATCTAAGTCCTCTTGATAGTGTAAGCAGTATAGAATGTGTAAACAGGCTGTATAACTGTTAAAGGTCAGCGTGACCTACACAGTCACAACGTATTTATAGAAAACCAACTCATCATATTTTCTCCTGAATAATTCATTTGTGAAGTTTAGAACCAACTACTGCTTTGAGAGCCTTTTAAAAATGCACTTGATTGTAAGTAGGAAAATATGAAATGAGAGAGAAATGACCTTAAGAAGTTTTACTTTCCACAAAATGTAGATAAACAGAGTGATCCTGATGTAAGATTACACACTTGTGAACCTGTCCTTTTTCCCTGTCCACACAAATGTGGTTTTACCATGGCTTGTGCCTGCCTTGTGAAAGCCAGCTTGTAAAGTCCCTGCAGTCAGTGGGCTTGCAAAATGTTCAGCCCACCTCTGACAAATGAATAACATCTGAGATCAGTGGGAATTGCTGGGTGTTTGGTATTTTGCATTCAGGCAGGTGTGCAGCTCTGCTGTGGATTTAACAGTCTAAAACAAGGAAGACTTATCTTCAAAATCTTGGTCTCAGTATAAAACTTCTAAGAAGAGTTCAGCCACTCTAACAGGTGAATGTGTAAGGTACTTGTTAATGGGGTGTGAACTTTACAGTACTGCTGAAACCTCATTATTCGTTAAAAACATAAATATCTGTATGACATTAGGTTTTTTGTTTGCTTTTATCTTATTACAGAAGTAATGACCTTGGATATAGGTCGTTTCCTGAGGATTAAGATTAATGACTGCTTGTGCATCAGGCTATCATCAACTCCCAGCCAGTCATTAATCCCCAAGAAATCCTGTGCCATGTTTGCTTCTGCTTAAGTGCTGGTTTGGCCATCCTTTA